ACCGTTGCCAACTTTAGATAGTCCGTTGCGTGGATATGGAAATGGTTCATAATCGATCATCGAACGTCAATAGGAGGTTTTATTTATTTATTTTTTTCTTATCACCTGTTATAATTAACTTTGTTAGAGTTGAATCGAAATCAAATCAGTTGTTATAAAATAATATCAATGAGAGCTATTAATTAATTTCGATCTATAATTATAAGAGATAGGAAGAAAAAATTATGATAAATATAATTTATTCCTTTAATCGATATATATATATATATATATATATATATATAATATTTTATTTTTTTATGTGACATAAGAATATATGTATATATATAGGGTTTTATTTTTCTTATGTGACATAAGAAAAAAAATTTCTCCTACTCTCATTTTAATTTTCGTGTTTTGTATTTTTTAAGTAAATTGGGTTACTCATATTGTTGGACAAAGTTATTTTATGTTGAACACTTACTGAATCATTGCCAGCCATTTTTTTATTGCGGAGCCTATATATTTGTCTCAGCTATATGAGAATTATTTCCATTAACATGAGATTAGTAACTCCTAGAGAGAAATTAATGTTTCTCATATTTTAGGAGATAATTTTATCTCCTACGTACTTAAAAGTGTGTGGGACCATATGAAGATAAAAGAGAAAACAAAATGGGTCTCACATACTTTTATGTATATGTAGAAGATAAAATTATCGCATACAATATAAGAAAAATTAAACCCATATATATATATATATATATATATATATATATATATATATATATATATATATATATATAATTCTTTAGCTAGTAAGAGTGAATCGAGGATTGAAACAAAATTATGTACCATGTCAACACTACTAGAAAAGTCCTTTTTTTACGGATTTTCTTTGTCAAAAACGGTGAAAATTTTGCCAAAAACAAAATTTTCAACGAAATTAAGGTCGTCGAATTTCTCTTCATTGATAACAAATCTTTCGATGAAATTAGAAATTGCGTCTAAATTTTTTGATGTAATTTTTTCAGTCAAAAAATTTCGACGGAATTTATTCCGTAGAAAGTTTTTGATGAAAAATCAATGGAATTTCTTCGAAAATTGTTGTAATGGTTTTCGACAAAAAAACATATTCTTTCGAAAGTGCTTGACGGAAAATCAATGAATTTTCGTCGAAAACTGATGTAAATATTTTCGACGGAAAACAAATTTTGTCCAAAAATTTTAGATATTTTTTTTTTTAAGTTTTTCTATACAAAATTAATACCAATTTTATGTACTGCACCTGATAAAAAAAAAAGAATAATTAAAGTAAATAACATATCAAAATCAATACATTAAATGCATAAAATTTAGGCTAAGTATTAAAAAAGACTTATATAATTAGTTAACGGTGTACAATAAATATATATTGTAATCTTAAAAATTTAACAAATAAAATTTAACATATCAATTCACAATGTGAAACTAACTTCATAATTCAACAAAATAATTTCCTCTCAACTTTTTTTGAACTTTATATCAATACACAATCTTTATATTCCAATACATACAATATTCAACTTCACCAAATACTCAAACCTAAGAGTGATAAGTTTTGCAGGCTTAGAATCAGAAGCTTAGTCTTCATACACATGGATAATGATTTTAAGTGTGTGAACTTGAAATATTCCACTTAGTCAAGGCTTTCCTTGACTTGAACCCTCCTTGGCTTTTTTCTCTGTCTCTGACTATCTTATCAGGAGCATTATCTTCCAATTTGAAACTGTCCACCGTGAGGAAAATGCCTGATTAATAAAACCATATCATAGTGAATCTCTAAATATTCTATTTTGGATGAAAATAACATAAATGTAATTTTATATTGAAATATTCAAATGTTAAAGCAATTTCAAATCCAAGTGAGGTACAAATATTCAATCATCCATTTTATTAATCTAAGGACACATGAACTGAAGACCATTAATAAACACGACACTTACGACATGCCAGTACTTATAAATATAATTTTTTTTATAAGGGTTTTCGACGGAATTATTTTTTCGTCGAAAATCACATAAATATAATGTTTTTATAAGCTTTTCGACGGAATTTATTTTTTGCTAAATATTTTCGACGGAATCTGATTTTCGTCGAAAAATTCATAAATACAATTTTTTTTATTTAATTTTTTATAAGGGTTTTCTACGGAATTAATTTTTCGTCAAAAATTTTCGACGAAAAACTAATTTCGTCGAAAACTTCAAAAATATAATTTCTTTTATGATTTATTTTTTATAAGTTTTTCGATGGAATTCATTTTTTTTCAAAAATTTTTGACGCAATCTATTTCCACAAAAAATTCATAAATTTATTTTTTTTATAAGGTTTTCGACAGAATTAATTTTCCATCAAAAATTTTCTACGAAAAATGAATTACGTCGAAGAATTCATAAATATAATTTCTTTTATGATTATTTTTTTATAAATTTTTCGACTGAATTCGTTTTCCATCGAAAATTTGAATTTTCATCGTAAAGTTTTTAAATATAATTTCTTTTAACATTTATTTTTTTTTGAAATTTTCAACAGAACCCGTTTTCGGTCAAAATATTTCGATGGAATATTATTTTTTGGAAAACTTCAATGAAATACATTTTTCATTGAAATTTTCATCTTTAATTTTGATGGAATATTTTCCATCGAAAATTGAGATTTTTTTAGTACCGTCACGAAATGCATGCAAATTTAACTAAGCACATGCGTATTGGCACTCCTATAATTTTTTTCCTCACCTTTTAGTTTTACGGTGTTTTTTTTTGAATTTTTTTTTGAAATGTTGATAAATTAAATTTTATTTATATTTATTTCACAAATAACTTTGTCCACTCGCCAAAACGGGTCATCTTTATTTGATTCTTCTATCTCTAAGTTTTTTTTTTATGCCGGTTCAACTTTTCAAAAAATAAAATAAAATTAGAACACATTATGCTTCTTCTTTTTTCGGTAAACGAACACATTATGCTTTATCATAATATAACAAGCACGTAAATGTACTCAAATTTTATCTTTCAAAAATTTAATTTGCATATAAAACTTATAAAGTATAAATTTATTTGAATTTTAAAAGCAAAAAAGTAATTAATACTTGAAAATTTCATGTATCCAACAATCACATGAAAACATTAAAGTAATTTAAAAAAGAAAACAACACTTCAAATATTAATTTATTCTGCTAGAAATTTGTCCTTCTCAATTTCGCTTCCTTCAATACACAAACTTGAAGAAAAGAAGGGGAAGAAGAATATATTTAATTTTTACTTACATAAAACTTATCTTACATTATAATGGCATAAAACTATGAACTCGTTATATGTACTATTGATAAAAAAAAAAAAAAAAACGGCAAGTAGATGAGTACGTAGGTACTTGTGGACTTTGACAAATAATTTATGATTTAGGTAATTCCGCTCTTTAACATCATTGATACATCTTATGTGATTCATTATTTTTTAAAAGTCATAATTTTTTTATATTTTTTCAAGTATGCAAAGTGTACTTGATCAATTTCAATAGATTTAATCAATTTCAATATATTGTTAAATCGTAATTTCACTAAAAGCTGATTCTATATAGTACAAAACTAAATAATGATCAAACTCTCATGGCACAGCTGGGCTCAAGTTTGAACCCGAGCCAAAAAATTATACATGTATTTATTTTTTTTTAATTTTAGTTAGTTCATATCATAATATATTAAAATTGGAGAATGATCTGTTTATAAATTTTTTTTACAAATTTTTGTAAATTATACTATATAAAGTACATAGTGTACTTCCGGAAGTACATAATATACTTTGTAAGAGTTTATAAACAAAAAAATTGTAAATATAACCCTCTCCATTTAAATTATATTAAATACAGAGCACCTGAGCAGGTAGTACAAGAAGAATTATAATTTTATTAAATATTTTTTAATTTTACTAGAAATATTTTTTTTATACAAGTGAAAATTGAACACATAACCTAATATAACTTACCAAAATCTCTTATAAAAAATATTTTAAATTTTAGATAAGGCCAAATTACAAATTGTAACCCGGGCCAATTTATAATTTTAACTCGGACGAAATTATTATTAATTATATAAAATAAATATAATTTGTTAAAATTTAAGTCAAGCGGAAACCACACTGAGAATGCATGTGGCACTGCTTAAATATCTTGATGAGTGCATTGTTGAAATGTCAACATCTGAGGGAGTAATGGAAAAGAGTATGTTTGAATGAATTATTTATAGTAGAATATATGTTAAAAGCATTAGTTTTAAAAAATAGGAAAGAATCTATTTACAATTTTTTTTTATAAATTTTTGCAAATTACAGTATGTACTCCCAGGGAGAATATAGTGTAATTTATAAGAGTTTGTAAATAAAAAGTTTGAAAATATAACCCTCCTCTTAAAAAATTTATCTAAGGAACAATGATTTATATACTTCACATTATATACTTCACAATATACCTGTAGGGGCTGTTGCAGCGAAAGCAACGACGTTCCTGTTTTAAAAATAAAAAAAAATAAAAATCATTTGAAAAAGCTAACTCCAACATAATGTGAATGTTTTTGACTCAAACAGAATTGTCTCTAGTCAAAGATATATATGGTTTATTCAAAAAAAAAAAAATCCCTAAAATAGGATTTGTGTTTGATTCATCCCAAAGTAAACCTTACAGACAAAAAGGTTAAAATCCCAAAACCCATCATGCTCATTACTCACCTAGTAACTGTAATATAAATATGTGAGCGTCCTAACTCCTAAACTTGTAAGTTGTTATGTTAAAGACATGCCGATGGTTTTATTCCCACTTACGTTGCACTTATTTTAACTTTTTTTTTCTTTAATTACAAGATTGGAGAAGGCAAAGATGGAACACTAAATCACTTTATCATGGAAACTCTAAAATTATGTCACCAATCAACTGTGACAAACACTTAATATGAATCAATTTCAGTTTTATAACATCAATGTTATGTGCTATGGTGCGAATACACGGAACATCTCTTCATTAAAATCTGAGGATGGATTAGAATAGTACATGTTACAATTGTACATTTTCCACGTCAGGCACACCTTGCTCAGTTTCTTCGATCTCTTCTTCCCCCTTTCAAAAGCTTTTTGCATTACATATCACACAAACAAACGAATGACTTAATGGAGAGTATGAAGGTGATCTTCCACCCTTTCCTCCAAACAGATGCTTCTTTCAACACTTAAAAGAACTAAAGAAACCAAACGAACAAAAGTGTAAAAAAAAAACATCTTAGGTATCATCTAAATCAGTGATGAAAGGTGGTTGGGTATCCTCGTTCTGAGCTTGAAGTTCAGTTTGTGTTTGAACTTCCTCCTCCTGCTGCTGCTCAAGGAGCCTGTTCATACGCTCTAGCAATTGTGCTGCCTTTCTTTTGCCTCTGTCTGTACCATTTTGAGCCAATTCCAACAATGGAGCCATCACCCCTAGATCTTGGGCCTGTGCTAGATATTGTTGATCTCCAGAAGAAAGATGCACTAAAACGGCAGCTGCGTTCTCTTTGTTCCTTGGGGATCCATTCCCAATAAAATCTACCAAAACCGGCAATGCCTCTGCAGCACCAATGGCAGCTTTCCCTTCAGGATGGCTAGCCAATATTGCCAAAATGGCCAATGCTTCATCCACCATTCCCCCACTAGGTTCTGTCAGCAGTCGCATCAGTGTTGGAATAACACCAGCTCTCACTGCCTTTCCCTTGTTACCCTGGTAAATGCACAAATTGAAGAGTGCTGTAGCAGCATCTTTCTTACCCCTTTGGGTACCCTCACTCAACAGTGTCACTAGCGGTGGTATGGCTCCTGAAGAGCCAATTGTGACCTTATTTTCATCTATAACTGAAAGGCTGAAAAGTGTTGCTGCTGCATTTTCCCGAGCTTCCATGCTTCCCTTCTTCAGCACATGAACTATACCTGGAACTGCTCCTGAGGAAACAATGCTTCCTTTGTTATTTTCATATATGGAAAGATTCAGAAGTGCTGTCACAGCATTCTCTTGAGTGCGAGAGTCAGGCACAGAAAGGAGACCAACAAGAAGAGGTATTGCGCCAGCTTCAGCGATAGCTACACGGTTATCTGCATTGCGCTTTGCAAGAAGGCGGATCTCACCTGCAGCTGATCTCTGGTCTTCGGGACTGCCAGACATGAGCTTTTGGAGAAGATTTTCAAACTTACTTCGCTCAGCTGGGGAACAGGCTGATGCTGATTTACTAGGTTGAGAGCTGCTGGGTCGTTTTGGTGGCTCTATGCCATTGGTTTCACACCATTGTGCTATGAGGCTTCGTAAGACATAGTTGGGTGTGAGAACAGTACTAGTGAGAGTCTGCTGTGTTTTTGGGCATGTCCCATGCCCTGCTTGCAACCACTTCTCAATGCAAGAACGCTCATAAGTCTGCAGATGAGAACAAGAGGTGTTTGAGAGGGTAACTTTACAGTTATAAGCAAACTGGCTATGAAGCAGGGGTAAAATGTCAATAGTGTGAACTGGAATCAGCATATAGCAATTATACTAACTTTCCAAATTCAACCAAGTTATATGTTCCACAAAAATCCATGAATATATAAAGCAATTGTACATGTTGCAACCTGTACAGCTTATGCGAAGCTCAATAGCCTCAGAGAATAAATTTGAAAATAAAGTAGGGTCCATCAATTTTGCTTTTGTGGTTTTCTTTTTCATAACACGACCACTTTCATGTTAGTAAAATGAGAGGATCCTCAACCAGAAATCAATTAGATATATTAACAAAATTGTGCCAGAGCATGGTGCCTTTTGCAGCAATTTTAAATTCAAGCAGACATAGAGCAAAGGTCACATCCTTCAATTTGTCAAGTCAAGAACGATAACTAATCGCACCCTATTTGAAACTTAGTTGTCAGAGAGTATCATAGAAGGCACATACCTGCCCTGTTGAAACAATGACAGGATCCTTCATCAATTCTAGCGAAATCGGACATCGAAAATCATCAGGGATAGCAAGGGCCTGATGATTCTTTTCATCTGTTCCTAGCGTGTAGACACTTAAGGAAAGGTCTTTTTGTTCAACATTATCATCCTTGTCTAGATTTTCTGTTTGCACATAATCCTTTATCTTCTTCAATAACATTGACATCTTCTCGATGCGTGCCCCTGGATCCCCACCACTTGCTGCAACCATCTCATGCAAAGCGAGTGATTCTTGTGTAAGTTCTGCTATTCCCATCAATTGCAATTTTTCAGCTACTCGACTTACAACAACTGGATCTGTAGCTGCATCACTGCTCTTGTTGTAAAGGCACAACATATCCTCATACAACTTGACATCTGGTTCATCAACCCTCCCTTTGGCTCTTCTGAACTGGGCAAGAACCAGCTCAACCTGAGACGATAGGAAGAATTAAACTAGATTATGTAAATAGCAAAAATATAGAGATAAAGAAGCTCCACAATGGTGCGGTGTCTATTCTATTCTCAATACCAAATTAGTTGAGGTTCAACAAATCGAAGTTTACTACTTAAAAAATGATATTGGCTGAGTCGCTGAGCAAGATCACCGTGTTGCACACGTTCAATAGCATTATAATATATATATAAAAAAGGCAAACCAAACCCCGGTGGACAAGGCTCCCCGACTTGTGAGAATAGGGGTGAAGGTGTATTATACCTGCTCCTTAACTTCATCTGATATGTCAAGTTTATCATAGGAAATTCCACCCAATGATTGTTCCAACTGAGCTGTCACCTCATAGAATTTATTCATAATTTGGTCCCTCTCAAGAACCTGTTAAAGGAAATAATACAAATGAATCAATATTTAAGGCAGAAGATTTCATGTTATTGGAAACATGTTTCCATAATGCTGTTTCTAGACATATAGTTCAAACCATAATCATAAGAGAGACTTCCAACGGAAACATAGCTCTGAGCAACCAAAGGTCAAAACAAGCATCTGAGAACGCCTCTTATGAAACAGTAAGTAATCTAAGGTTTCCATGTAGACATAAAAAAAAATACAATATTATTTGGATTTCAAATAGTACCAATATTATAAATTTTATTAAATTGCTTAATTTTGCATAAACCTGTATTAGTTGATCATTTCAAAGTCCTACAAGACATAAAAACTTTGGCAGCATGAACATCGTTTTTACAATAATTGATGTAACAAATCTGAACAGAATATAGGAATGCTTGAAACAATTAAGACACCATTAAAGGAAAATACCCTTCCCCTACCTCTGCAAAGCTCCACACAACAGAAATCCCCAAATTGCTATTGACTTACAAAAAATAATAATAAAATAATAATGATAAATAAATAATTGACGGGAACAAACCATGTAAATCTTGCTGCCTTCACTCCCGAATCTGAGTAGTTCCCTGGCGGATTCCAGAGCTTCCTTGAAGGCAAGCATAGCTTTTGAAGTGTCCTCAGAGATTGCCTCTTTCATGTCACTAATCTCCTCGAACATCGGCGTCAACAGCTTCAACCTCCTCGCCAAGTTACAGTACTGCTTCTTCACCGCAGGCCTGTAATCTGAGATGCTAGCTATCTCATTCAACAACTCGATCAATATCCCTGCGCTCTCATCCTCCATGGCTTCCTCCATATGCCACCGTTTTGCTCCGCCCGGCGGCGAATTAGCAGAGAAAAATCGCCGATTGCCTGAGATCGAGGTCGTTCGTCATACTTCTCCTCCGTCAACGACAAAAAAATTTCAGACACTGCGTTTTTAAGAGAGAGAAACACGCCAATGACTTTTCTAACTCTCTTTTTGTGGCGCGGCTCAAGCTGAGTGAACAAACTAATGCTCGGCTAGTGCGGCGCTCAGCGTGAGGGTGGGTTAATTCCGTTTAAAGAACTGCGGTAACTCTCGTTCCAGCGACTCTCCCATGGCGACGACTCTATCTGTCAAAGCAATTGACTGTCGATTTTATATTTGGGAGAATGAAAAAAAAAAAAAAAAAAAAGTAAATACGTTTTTGATGCCTAACAAAAAGATACGGTTCCCACTTTAGTCCCTTACAAAAATAAATTAATCAATTAGTCCCTAACAAATTTAAAGTGAACGCATTTTAGTCCTTTTCAGGGACTAATATGGATCTTTTTTGAATTTTGGAGAGACCACAATTAAAATGGGGACCGTTTTTTTTGTTAAAGACCAAAAATGACTAATTTTTGTTAGGGATTAATTGACTAATTTATTTTTGTAAAGGACTAAAGTGGGGACCGTTTTTTTTGTTAGAGACCAAAAATGATATTTACTTATGTTAATTTATATTCTGATATTTTGTTAGAGGTTTAGCTTCTGTAAGTGCCGTAATCAAATACTTGATAAGGAATCATAATCATACAAAAGATGAAAGTATTAAATGAGAGAAATCATAATCATACACATGTCGTTATTGTAGGTAAAACAGCTGCAGTAATGATTTTACCATTTTGTTAATGGGAAAAATGTGTATCATTTTAAAAGGTTATAAAATTATATCATTTTAAGTGAGAGAAAGAGATAAATAAAAAAAAGAGTGGACAAAAAAAAATAAAAATATGGGTATCACCTCCTTCTGAGAATGAAATGACATAAATTGTGTCATTTAAAGGGTCAAACATTTTTTCCTTTGTTAATTGTATACAAACTATTGAATAATATAATTTAAGAGTTAATTAATCAATCTTTATAGTTTTCATACCATATCAATTGACGATGGGTATCGGTATAAATGATCTAGGGCCTAGGTGGCTTGTTAGGGTCTATAGCTTACTTTGCTTTTGCCTGAGCTTGACTTGATCTATTTTAAAAAGGAAAAAAAATTAAAATATTATATTTTTAATAATTAATTACGAATATATTACAGTTTAGAAATTATATACGAATCTATTGCAGTCATTCACGTCCAAATTATGCGTGACTATTCACGCCCAAATTAAGCGTGACTCCCAAGGAATTCACGCCTAAATTAGGCGTGACTCGTCTGGTGTTGACACGTGGCACAAAAAATTAATAGTTTAACCGTAAAACTTTATAAGGTCATAACTTTTGACTCGGGTATCCGAACGAGATAATTCTTTTTTTGATTCCACATAAATTTTCGATATATACGCAATGACATCTCATTTGATATATTTTATCTCTCATAAACACAATTCAAATTTGCAACAATGATACTATAAAGATGGCACCAAAGTGGATTAACTCATCTATAAATAAGATGGCACCAAATTTTCTATTAAATACAAAACGCAATCAGCTCCTATTAAATACAAAACGCAATCAACTCCTATAACATTAAATTCAAAATTCAAATAACCTCCAGCAAATTTGTTTGAATTGGCGACAATCTGTAACCAACTCATAAAATTACAACGCAATCCGCTCCTATTAAATACAAAACACAATCAACTCTTATGAATACAAAATGCAATCAACTTATTGAAGGTTATTTGAATTTTGAATTTTGAATTTAATGTTATAGTAACATTATTGGGCGTTAATGAGTGCAATATATTCGTAATTAGGTTCAAAACGACAACTTATTCGTAATTAATTATTAAAATATATACAAATTTATATAATATTCTACCAAGTGTTTATAATATTTATTTAATTATTTTTTTTATTAATACATATTTTTCAAATTTATTTTTGAGTTTAAATCACAAATTAAATCTTTATTTTGTTTTTCTTATTAATAATAATTTTTTAATTTTTTTTGGTAATACACTATATAATACAATTATTGCAAATTTGAATTGTGTTTGTGAGAGATAAAATATATCAAATGATGTGTCATTGCGTAGATTTTGAAAAGTTATGTGGAATCAAAAAAAGAATTACCTCGTTCGGATATCCGAGTTAAAAGTTATAGCTTTCCAAAGTTTTACGGTTCGTAAGTTGGCTTTTTTTGCCACGTGTCAACACCAGATGATTCACGCCTAAATTAGGCGTGAATGCCATGGGAATCACGCCTAATTTGGGCGTGAATAGTCACGCCTAATTTGGGCGTAAATGACTGCAATAGATTCGTAGATAATTTCCAAACAATTATGTATTCGTAATTATTTATTAAAATAGTAATATTTTTTTTTTTTTTAAATAGTACAGGCTGAGTTCATTAAAAGACTTATTTAGAAATCATGTCACAAGTCAATTTTAGCAAGTTGGTCCTTTAATCCTTCAGGCTCGCCTTGTATTTTTAATAAATAATATTTTATTTTACTTTTAATAGATAATATTTTATTATTTTTTAATATATTATTATATTATTATTTTTTAATAAAATAATACCTTGTAATTTTTTAATAAAAAAATATCTTTTAATTTTTTAATTTTTGCAATATTCTCTCTCACTTGGTGTCGTCATCACTCTTTTCTCTTCCATTCTTCGCCAAATTTTCCTACTTTTCTATCCTTTTTTGAACTTCTCATCCCTTCTAAATCATCTTTCATTCACCATCGATTCTCAAGACTTTCTTATGTAAGATGAGCCAACATCACATGCTACCAATTTGCTTAAACAAAGGTGCCTTAATCGATCAAGACATTCAAATTACAATTCTACTCCTTTTGGTGGTGTCGATGAAGAAAAAAAGTCAATAAAATATAAATCTCTTAATAAAGTTTTATGATATTGTTGAACAATTTATTTTTTAACTTTTGGCTTTTGTCATCGTCACGATTATCATTTTTGTTTAGTGGAATTTTTTAATCAATGAGTGAGTGAGTGAATATATATATATATATATATATATATATATATATATATATATATATACGGCAAAATTATTTTTGCAGCCGCTTTACGTACAACAATGACAGGTGTATGGTTATGATTTCCCACATTTAATGTTTTCATCCCTTGTATGATTATGATTCCCGGCATTTAATGTTTTCAAGTATATATATATGGCAAGTATTTAATTGTTGCACGTACAACAGCTACAAAAATGTAAACATATATATATATATATATATATATATATATATATATATATATATAATTAAGCATTCTATTTTCTTTGTCGTTTTTTGTTTTTGATTTCTAGCAGCATAGTTATATTGTAAAAATTTTAGTGTTATGTGCATAGAAAAGAAATATATTCCATCTAGTTAAACATACAAAAGAATAAAAAATTATTTTAACCTATATTTTACGGTGTAACAGCCCGTTGTACACCGGTATTGTTAACATTAATTATGATATTAAGTGCAGTTACAATCACAACAATTTATTTATAAAAATGCGAATAAACTTTTTCTATTATTACGCGAGTATTTAAAACAATAAAAAGCGTAATAATTAAAAGTTGTGACCATAACTGTAAACTCTTGCGGAATACTTGTTTAAACTATTTTTATATCTTATTTTACTCAATACAAGACACTAAGGGGTTCCCATAAACTCACTTAGCTAATTTATCGATTTTACGTTTTCCACCTATCTGAACATGGTTCGGTTATTATTTTTCTGCGGACATACCGCACAAAACCAGTCCTTCATCTTTAGCTATCTTTTTTTCTTACTTAAATACCTTTCCAATGAGCCATCACATGAGTCATTTCGATCTCGTTTGCTCCGGATATCGCCGTTTGAAGTTGAACAAGCAAAGCTGCCAGCCAACCCCAAAACAGCTCCAAACATCCCTCACTCCACGAATTACTGCAGAAAATCCACTCAACCAATTGCTCTCAAATTTTTATTAAACAAACTAGACACCTCAATCTTCAATTTGATATATCATACACTTAATTTGACCAAGAAATGAAGCAGGAATAAATTTCCCAAAACCGGTCCAGAACTGCCACAAGTGCAGTGAGCAATTGGGCAGTCTTCACTCTCTGAATTCCCCAGGCCGGCGCTCAACCCATAATTCTCTCAAATTTTACCACAAGATAGAGGACATCTCAATCTTCAAAATGGCATATGGAAAATCCCTATCGGATCTCTGTGGAGGGAGATATGCTCTCCGGAAGTTCTCCTAAATTCTGCCAATTCTACAGAAAATTCGCTAGATTTTCCTTTATTTTTACAAAAATCCCAAAGTTTGCAAATGCTTTCTAATACCTCAAATGTACCTAATAACCAATGGGTGGCACACACAAGGACCAACAATGTCTTGGGGCACTTACAACCCAATTCAGTTTATAGTTATTACACAATTCATATCATATTGCTCACTTTATTAATCCTTGACTTATTTCAATCACCAATGTCCATTTTACATGCATCTTCTAAGCATACACATAATTATAATCCTAAAATAGGCCTAAAGCTCTTCCATCATATTACATCAAGTATTCATTATACAATTACAACATCTCAATTACATATTACAACTTACAAATTCATAACTTTAAATTACAACTTGAAACATAAAGCTTAAAATAACATATACAACATGTACCTAGACTTAGGCAAAAATAGCATGAACAAATATGACATGAAACTCATCTTACATACATACGGGATGTTCATGCCCTAAGTCTATCCTAGGCCCAATGGCCATCAAAATGCAAAACATAAAAATGTCCTCCACACTCATCCTACGGGCCTCTTGTTCGCCGCTCCTGTGCCACTGCTATCTCCTAAAATAAAGCCCCTAAGACGGGGTGAGATATACGAATATATCTCAGTAACCCAGAGGTTCTGGAGAAAACTCTGCTCAATGGCTCACTTTGATGCATATAAATTATAAACAATAACCTCTTTAAAAAATGGGATAAAGCAAGGGATTTAGAGAAACTGAGGAATATGGGAATACAAAATACGACGAAGCTGGAATGGTAGCTACCAATACCACGCAACGCC